TCTGTGAAATGCTGGAGGATATGTATAGTAAAGCTTATATTATCCCAAGCATTCGTTCATCAGAGGGGTAATCCAGAAATATTCTAAAACAGTGGGAGCTTCCATGCCAGTGAGGCAATGAATCTACACTGAGATTTAGGGTACACCTACACTGTAGAAAGAATGCAGTTTGTCACCACATTAAGTGTGGTAATTCCATCCTATGGAATACTGGGATTTGTAGTTTTGCAGGGTCTTTAGACTTATCTGCTAAAGAGTGATAGAGCCTCACCTAACTCCAAATCCCAGGATCATGTTGGATGGAGCCATGGAAATTAATGTGGTGTCAACCAGCATTATTTCTACAATGTAGATGCACTGTTAGCCTGAAGCTGTCAGCCAAAGTGGCAAATCTCATTCCAAGAGTAGAGCATGTTTTTTTCATACTCCACGCTGCTTTCTAGCAATATTTTTAGAGATACCGCCTCATTCCAATGCTCCCTCATCCGCAGTACTGCCATATATAAGCATATCTGACTCTTGTGCCATTTTTTGGTTTCATGAAAGGTAACTCTTTTGAAAACTCTGACAAAGGAGAAATACACATTCAGGTGTGACCGGTGGCTGGATGTCAATGAAGATGACAACGAGATTGTGCGGGAACTCCCGGCTGAAGGACCACTAGTAACTGAAGTAATGCCAGGTGAGAAGAAAAATGTGTCTGTGTGAACCCATTTTTAAATTAGAGATGGGCATCTGTAGGAGGCTAGGCAGCCCCAAGAAGGATGTACCCCCACCATACCCCCATACAAAAAAGCCACTTTTTGCCTGTAAATGGACCCAAACTCTCTCTTGGGGGGTACATTGAGCATTTTCACAATGTTTTTAGACCCTTGGTCCATTTTATACACAGGTAAAAGTTTATTTTTAACAAGGGGAGTGGAAGGCGCTTTCTGGTCAACTCTTATTTGGAAAAAAGCATTCTCCTGAGCCTAAATGCCTCAGGGTCCCCCATAACTGTGGTTAAAATGTCCTCCATGTCTCCGATACAGGGGCATTGGAGGGTGTTGGGGGGTAAAAAAAGATTTTATGGGAAAAAGGTTTTTTGTATTTTTGTTAATTCCTGGAGGTGCTGGCAACTGGCCACACTTCTTTACTCCTGCTAAAAAAATTCCCATTGGCATGACAGCTCCAGTATGTGAATAAAGCCCCCCCCCTTTTTTTTTGGAAAAAAGCCTCCCATTTCTCAGAGCCAAGATAGCCATAGATGAAAAAACACAGAATATCAGTTAAAAACACATCAGTTAAAACATACAATTTAAAAAGACAAATAAGATAATCACATATTAAAACAATCCACATTTAAAATTCATCATTTAAAATTCACAGTTTAAAAATCATCTAGATAAGCCTGCTGGAAGAGACTGCTCTTCAGTGCTGTTTTAAATTCAGGCAACATATTTAGCTGTTGCATCTCTTCCGGCAGGTCATTCTGCAGTGTAGGGGTGGCTGAAAAGAAAGTCCTCTGGCTGACAGTTTTAACAAATGATCCAAACCACTGTAAAAATGTGGTAATTAACCTGATGAATGCATCTGTGTGTATTTCCAAGTACACATCATTTCAAAAATGTGCTCTGCAGCTGGACAGATTGTGAGAGTTTTTGTGAATTTTTAATTTTTTCCCCACATACCAGGACTTTTTTCTGTTTACAAAAAACATTTTTGTACAAATGTCCATGATTTCTGAATAAAAGAGCCCCACATTATTGCACAGAGAACTGTGCATCTTACACAAATGCACCTGCTTCCTGTGCAAAAATGCTATGTTCTTTCTGTGCAAATCTTTTTAAAATAAATACTGTCAGCCTGGTTAAAAATGGCATCACCACACCAGTGATGGGTATTACAGCTGTGGCACTGCTCCCCAGTAGCCCAAACTGATTTTGAGATCCTAAATCTGCAGATGAAAACAGAAGTTTGGACGAGATGCATCCAAACCTAGTCCAGCAGCACCAACCTGCTCTCATTGATCAATATGCAAAGGAGAGCCGTTCCCGAAATGTTGCAGGGATGATTATAATTGCAAATGCAGTGATTAAAATGTCAACAAACCTTTGATGAAGTTTATTTTAATCCACTGTGTGAAGTGGTTGGCTATGAGGAATTGTGCATGTTCCCTGGTTGGGTGCTATTTGCCAACTGCATGAAACACAGGCCATCAGGAGCAAACTGGATGCTACTGCTCTTGTTTATACATTTAGGAATGCAGCTACCTGAGCCCAATCCAGGTGTTAACATTGTCCACTGACTATTAAATTTACCCCTATTCTTGTCACAATCTTGAGAAGGTCTTCTGTTGAATTCCTCAGTTGCCCAGGAAAACAACATATGGTACCTCAGGTGATGGGGCTAATCCAGTTCTTGTGGGTCTCAGTCTGGCTCCTGAAGTTCTCCAGATGTCCGTGCTCCTTTCCCTATGACAATTGGTTTTAAATTCCCAGTATGTGTTTTCCCTCTTTCTCATGGCTTAGTAATGGTTTTAAGAGAAAATGAGTGGGTATTTCTAGAAAGCAGCCTTCAAGAATGTCTTTGAAAATGAATTCAACCAGATGTCTGAAAGAGGTTCTCCATCCTTCCAGTAACATCTTGCTAAACTGGTCCAATGTATGCCTACATATGTCTTTAGAGTTTATCACATTGGCTTTGCTCCCACAATAGATGTGGAATGTAACTTTAAGAAAGTGGATCTTATCACATTTCCCCATCGTCAGGGAGTATGCATTCCTTTTGCAACTCGGACTTCTTGGGGCTCCTCCCATATCTTTTCAAGAATGAGATTTTCCCATTCTTGAAAAGATGTGGCAGAAGCCCAGGTTGCAAATGGGCTGTATACTCCCTGGTGATGGGGAAATGCGATAAGATCTGCCTTCTTAAACTTACATCCCAGTCTATCACGAGAGCAAAGCCAATGTGATAAACTCCTGAATCTGGTCATTGCAGAGCTTGGTACTCTCTTCCTCTTTCTCCAACAGTGGTTCCCAAACTTTGCCCCTCCAGATGTTTTGGACTTCAGCTCCCAGAATTCTTGACTGCTGGTGAAGTTGGCTGAGGCTTCTGGGAGCAGAAGTCTAAAACAAATGGAAGACCAAAGTTTGGGAACCACTGTTCTACAACAACAAAAGCCCTAACACAGGACATACTATGGACATCACTTCAATAGTGCCCTCTTCACAGCCATTCAGTGTCTGGTGGAGAGTGGAAGGAAGTTTGAGAAACATCTGGCTATCTCCCCATGGCCTGATGCAGAGCAAGACCTCTAGAAGACTTGGGTGGATCTCTGTGGATGTTTTCATCAGTCTACATCTAGCTGTGGGTACATAGCTTGATGATTGTCCAGTTCCCTCCCTACTAATCTCCACCAACCAAGGAATGGCTATGGAAGGGGGCTGTCACAGAATAATGGTGAGTCCTGCAGGTGCTGAGAGGGGAACCACCAGAGAAACATTTATGTTAGGTTAGATGATGTAGGCGTTAAGCCAATATGTCTGTACATTAAGCACAGCATGCTTTTGTGAGGTATGCTCTGTGCTCAAAATTACATGTTTCAAGGTTGTTGAGAACTTTAGGTCACTTTTATCCTTCCTATGGGGGGAATAACCAGACCTGACGTGCTAGATGTATAAAAGCCAATCATAGATCACTAGAAATACCTATGAGAGCCATGAGTTGCAAAGTAGAATACTCTGGAATCATTATGCTTAGCCATATGGGAGAAGTTGTACAGCTTCATTGCTGGGCTTTTATTAAAAAAAAATGTTTTATTCACCTGTGCCTTTGCAGTGATAAAGTACCGGGTAACTGTGTACACTGGGACAGTGAGTGGAGGTGGGACGGATGCCAGAGTCTTTGCTTGTCTCATCGGGGAACAGGGAGACACCGGGGATCGCTTCCTGCAGAACAGCGTGAACTCAATCAATAAATTTGAGAAGGGCAGTGTAAGTCATCATGCCTGTGTACGGCTGTTTCAAAGTACAGAGTAATATGCTTGCTGGAGAAAGCAGGGGAGAGACCAAGACAGGGCTGATCCAGCAGGGATCAGTAGGGATCAAAAAGCCCAAGGCTTTTTGCTTGGAGCAGCAAATGATAACTTCTACTCCTCTTAATCTGTGAAATGCATAATGCCAGAATAATTTAAGGTTATTTTCACATCCAAGTAAAAAACAAAAAGCCCACACCTAAAAATGCAATTATAACACCCAACATGAGTAGACATATTGTACAAATGAGAACGTCATAAGTCAATGCTAGGGGTGGCTGATGAAATAAGGGGAAGAGCTCCTATGCCTTTAGTGGTTGTGTAAAAGAGAGAATTTCAGCAGGTACTGCTTGCACGACCAGCAATGCCTGTTGAAATTCCCTCTTCTACTCAACTAAAAGAATAGGAGCCCTCCTTTATTTTACCTGGCAACCCTAGTCAATACTTATGCAAATTCCATTTATTCAATAATTCTATTACAACTGGGACTAACAGTCAGATTTAGGCTAAAATAGCTATTAATTTCCTTTTGTTGTTGTTGTGAACCCAAAATTTGCTGCCTGAGGCAGAGACCTAATGGTAAGGCTAGAACTGTAATCCAGCTATTGACATAAGGGACAGGTATTCCAATCATCAATATATGCATAGTCAAAGCTGACTCTAAAAATGAAACAGTCTTTGAATTGAGTATTCATTAATTAAACGTGTATATGTACCGTAATACCACTTCAAGGGACCCACAAGCTAAAGATGTTGTAACTGGGTTGCAATTTAGTGAATGACCTTCACTGAGAGGAACTCTGGCCTTCCCTATGTTTTCAGACTTCTTGTTGTGTACCTTCAAGTCATTCCTGGCTTATGGCACCTTTAAAGTGAACCTATTATAGGGTTTTCTTGACAAAATTTGTTCAGAGGGTCTTTGGCTTTGCTTCCCACTGAAACTGAGAAAGTGTGACTTGCCAAGATCACCAAGTGAGGTTTCCATAGCCAAAAAGGGATTCCAACCCTGGTCTCCAGAGTTCCAGTCCAATGCTCAAACCACCACACTATTCTGGCTCCCAATTTTGGATGGCAGTTCCCACAATCCCTACTTTGAGCTATGCTGCCTAGGGCTCCTGGGACTTGTAGTTGAAAAAGACCTGGAGAACAAGAGTCACCCATGCCTCATCTAACTGGTTGTTTTCCCCACTTTATTATTAATGTTGTTGCTTTTTTTTTTTAAAAAAAAACAACTTGTGTTTTATTGTTGTTTTACTGTTCTGTACTTGTTTTATTGCTTTCCATCACCCTGAACATTGTGAGCAATGAGCGATGGTGGGGGAAAAAGAAGAAGAATCTTTCTACGAGAAAATTAAATAGGAATGGTGGTGGTAAGCAACTTTGAGGAACATTTTGTCAAACTGGTATGTCATTTAACAACAAAACCTTCTTCTGTTGTTCGAAGAATGGCCATGCACCCTACGGTGAATTTTTCAGATTATAAAAATGGCTGGTTGTCCTTCAGGGTATACTTCATTTTGCTACAACCTGATTCCTCACTGATCTAAAGTGAAACTAGGTGACAGGTCTTTGAAGGCAGGATTCAAATCTCTCTTCCTCCTCACACCATATTTGTTGGGGAGATGAGCTTTCTGATGGTGCCCTGATGCAGCCCTCTAGATCAGGGGTAGGCAACCTTTCCTCTCTAAGGGCCAAGCGACTTCAGCTCCCAGACGCCTCAGCCATGTTGGCCAATAGTCCCATGTTGGCCAATAGCTCCTGGGATTCTGGGAGCTGAAGTCTCTCGGCCCTTAAAGGGGAAAGGTTGCCTACCCCTGCTCTAGATGTTGGCTTACCATACTTATCATCCCCAGGTGCTGGAAAAAGGGATCATATAGGCTGGAGACAATGGGAGTCATAAATGTTTATCGCACCGCTAAAAAAACCTGGCTTACCTCTCCCGAGTTGAATTCTAATTCAGGATACAGCTGGGTCCTATTGCACGGGTGTTGCTCCCAAATCCTCTGGCCAAATACAGCCTGGCTGCAGCCTGGGTCCCAGGACCATTCAGCAAGCTGCTTTTCAAAGTTGGGAAACTCCTGACTGAAAAGCAGCTTGCTGAGTGTGCCTGGGATCCTGGATGCAACCAGGCTGTATTCAGCCAGCAGACTTGGCAGCGAAACTTGTGTGATAGAACCCGGCTGCCTCCCGAATTAGAATTCAGTTTGGGAGAGGTAAGCTGCATTTTTTTAGCAGTGCGATAAACTCTGTAGTGCAGAACACATGGAAGGTAGTATTGCCAGGCTCTCAAAATACAGGTTGAGTCTCCCTTACCTGAAATGCTTGGGACCAGAAGTATTTTGGAATTTTAAAGGTTTTGGAGGATTTGCATATACATAATGGGATATCTTGGAGATAGGACCCACGTCTAAACATGATATTCATTTCAGTTTTGTGTACACTTTATACACATAGCCTGAAGGTAATTCTATACATAATATTTTTAATAATTTTGTGCATGAAACAAAGTTTGTTTACACTAAACCATCAGAAAGCAAAAGTGTCACTATTTCAGCCACCCATGTGGACAAATCTGGATTGAGGATTTTAGATTTTGGAATTTAGGATAAAGGAGACTCAATCTGTACCAATAAGGGGTAGTTAAAAATCATGACATGGGGGTGACAATTTTTTGGGTGAGGTTGGACAAGTGACATGCTCTCATCCTCAGGGGAAGGCAATGGCAAACCTCCTTCTGAACAAATCTTGCCAAGAAAATCCCATAAATTGGAAATGACATGAAGGCACATAACAACAACAACAACAACAACAACAACAACAACAACAACAATAACAATAACAACGTTTTACTCCTTGCTAGTTTAAAGAATACAAGGCAATTAGTGCAGTGAGAGGATCTGATCTTATTTCTCCCAGATTATAGAAAACTCCTGAAGCTATATATTTTAAGAAATGCCATTATTTCTAGACTTTCCTATACAGTCGATCCTCCGTTTTCATGGGGGATCCATTCTGGACAGACACACCCCACGAAAATGGAGAATCGCAAATATTCAAGCCCCATAGGCTTGAATGGGGTGCGCCCCATTGATTTTAACAGAGGTCACCGCTCAGTGAATATTCAAAACCGCAGACCTCAAGTCAGTGAGAATTGAGGGGCAACTCTATTAACACTTTTTCTTCTATTTCTTTTCTTCCCCCTGAAGGTTGATGAGTTCATCATTGAATCGGTCCATCTGAAGCAGGTGAGAAGGGTGAGGATAGGGCATGACGGCAAAGGAGGAAGTAGTGGCTGGCACCTTGGCAAAGTGATAGTGAGGGAAGATGGACAGCCAGAGAGTGAGGCACAAGAATTTCCCTGCAACAGGTACTAGAAACAATGAGGTTTTCTATCAGTTGTCTGAGCATTCAAGACCTCAGGCCCCAAACCTTTGTTATAGCCCCCTGTGCTATAAACCTGAATCCTTCCCTCTCTCTTGGGCTTTTCGTCCAAGAGAGGGCATTCATAAAACAGCAAAGAAAGAGACTCATAGGAAACACATACCAATTACTAAGGCCTGGACTGTTAACACCTCACAGTTATTGCCCTGTAGGATGAATCCTACTAAAGCTATTTGACGTGTAGACAAACACATAAAAAATAATTTTAGGAAGATAAAGTGAAACCATACTTGAAAGCTAGAGGCCATGCTGTGGATGTCTAGGGAATAAAATTCAGTGTGGATTGGAGGAGAGCACAAAACTCTGTACAGAACTGGAAAAGTAATAATAATAATAATAATAATAATAATAATAATAATAATAATTATTATTATTATTATTATTATTATTATTATTATTATTCTTGCCTACACCTCCCCATGAATTGAGGTGGAGAACAACAACAGATTAATATACAACATATAATATCAGTTTAAAAAGAAAAACAACACCAATGAAAACACTTTTTAACACACATTACAACACAGACTAAAACACAGGGCATAGACTAGCTCCAACAATTTCTTCAGATAGTGGCCACAATGGCTGAGGGATCTGATCAATTGTCCACTTGTCTTTTGCTTTCTCTGCCAGTTAGTGCTCACAAAACCACAAATCCTAGGATTTTGCAGGATGGAGCCATGGCATTTAGAGTGTTGTCACACTGCATTCTGTATAAATGTAGATGCATCCTTAGAAAATGGGCTGCAATGCACTAAATCCCAGTCACACACAAATTTGGTAGTCTTAAAGATATAGGCTCCTCTCCTCTCTCTCCACACAGACACACAGACACACACACATTAAATTAATTTTCAGAAAGTTGAGATTTTTGAAAGGCTGAGAGGGGGAGGGACAATTTTATGAAAATTGTCAGGAGCCAGAGAGTAGACTTATGTATTACATTAAAGTCTCATTGCCTTTAGAGTTTGGAAAATTAATGGTAAATAAACTCATTTATCTGTCTCAGTAACAACTCATTAACAGATAACTGTGTTAATTCTTTTCTATTAAGTTTCCTGTCTCTGCCTTTTTTCCTAAAACTGAGGAACAGAGCTGGTATCTCGGTAGTGATTTGGATTATAATCCCACACTTACTGGGGCGTGGGTCTCACTGAATTTTATAGGACTTAACTTCCACACAATATTCATGGGATTGTACTTTATATCTGAGAATCTTTTTTCCTGGGCCATTCCACTGAAAAGCAGAATGATTAATGTGTAAACCATGCAATGTGAAGTCAGACTGCATGTTCCTAGTGCTTTATTAATGGACACAGAATCTAAATAGACCCCAATAAAGTCAAAGTTTAAAAACCACACCAATGAAATATATATGATAATAACACTCCATTTAATGTAAACCTATAAAATTGCATTAACAAATTGATGATTGTTTATAATACAGGGTTTGAGTTATTCTTTAATAACTGGGATCTGTTATGACTAAGCAGTGTTAATTCTGATTAGCATTTCCCAGACCCCTGATACATTATTCATGTACTTTTCCTTCTACTCAAAAGTCCCTGAAGTTATGGGTTTTATTTTCTTAAAAAAAAACACACCACCCTTGGTAGTGCTTCCTTATCACAAATGCTGCATCAGCGTTAAAGTTGCTATTGATTTATTAACAGAAGTCTTCTCTGGATGTGGAAGCAATTTAAATTGCAGTTACTTGGAAATATACACTGGTTAGCTTTTTGAACTGACCCCATTGCTCTTCTAGTCAAAGCAAAAATTAAATAAATAACACAGAACAATCAGGTAGTACAAGCTTGGAAAATATGAAATTTGGGGGGACTGAATCTTATTGGTTAATCTCAACTAGGTAGACACAGTGAATTAATATTTGAATAGTAAGTCAACCCACAATGTGTACAGGTTGAGTCTCCCTTATCCGAAATGCTTGGGACCAGAGATATTTTGGATTTTTTGAGATTTTGCATATACATAATGAGATATTGTGGCGATGGGATCCAAGTTGAAACACAAAATTCATTACAACTTATATACATAGCCTGAAGGTGCTTTTTATACAGTATTTTAAAATAATTTTGTGAATGAAACAAAGTTTGTGTACATTGAACTATCAGAAAACAAAGGTGTCACTGTTTCAGACACCCATGAAAAAAGTTTTGGATTTTGGAGCATTTCAGATTTGTGGATAAGGGATACTCAATTTGTATTGATAGCCAGTGTAGTATAGTGGTTTAAGTGTGAGAATAGAATTCTGGCAGACTTGGATTCAAATCCCCACTCAATCAGGGAAACTCACTGGTTGATCTTGGAAAGGTCACACTTTCTCAGTCTCAAGAGGAAGGCAAAGCCAAACCCCCTCTGAACTTTTTCCCCCCAAGAAAACCGTGCATTAGGTTCACCATAGGGTCACAATAGGTCAGAAAAGACTTTTTTGGGGTTTTTTATTATTAAAATTATATCAAGTTACATTGTTTACACCATTATTTTCATGTTCCCTTTTCTATAGTACTAAATTATCATTATTCAACTTTTTACAAAATACATATGAATACTAGTTGGTTATTCTTGACTTCCAGTTCTTCTCCAAAGAAAAAAGT